AATTAGCCCCAAGGCCAGGCTTATGCTCATGAATAAGGCTGAAGGAAGGATCTCCCACAACCACTGTAAAAAGGCTTTTCCAACAGATGTGAAGAAAGAGGAGCACACTTCAAGTATAATTTAAAATACATTTATTGTTTCATTTGTTCTTGCTTTTTTTTTTCTTTTTTTTTGTTATACAAAGATGTTAAATAACTTAAATACATTCTCAACAGTCACTCAGAATCAGATTTATACCTACAAGCTGTACATATGAGGTAGAGAAAAATAACTTAGGCTCCCATAAGACATTGGAAAATAAACAAAATAAAACAAAAAAGAAAAACAAGAAAAATACGAATCCTTCATGTTAGTATTCCCACCTCCCTTTAAAAGGAAATGCCATCCCAGGTGTGCAAAACAAATCCTAGACTTTACATTCCTGCTTCGAATTGTTAAAGGTGGGGTGGTCCAAGGGAAATTCCTGGGCTGTTTAGGTGTTTGGTGTTTCAGATGGATCCATGCTCAAGGGGAGCTGGAAGGATTATCCACACTTATCTTGATTTTCCTGAATTCAATCCCACCTCTCTTAACCTGGTTGTCTTTGTCCCCTTCTACTGTCAGCAGGGAAAACTGGCACCTCCAAGTGGGCCAAACACCTTCCAGAGGTGCCCCCAGTGACTGCAGACCACGGGCTCCTGTCCTAAGGCGGGGAGATTCCAGATCCATTGCACAACAATGCCAACACCTTTCCCAACATTCCTGAGGGAAGTAATCTCCTGTCCTTTCGGGTCATCTCGCCCAGTGCTAAGAAGGGCTTTTTCCCCATTTCTGAAAAAAGGCAGAATTCTGATGTTTCCCCGACAGGTGAATTTGATGTGTTTGCATAATTCTGGTCTCCCCACTCCCTCCCTGCACCTGAGGAACTGTAGTTACAGGAAGCCAGAGTGAAACTGTGCTGCCAAATCCATTTTCTTTTCCTCCCCGCCCACAAAGCCTCAAGATTCCCTTTTTCCTTTTGTTTGCTCAATTCAGAAACACTCCGTTTCTGGAACTTGCAAATAATTTGATCAAATCCAACGTTAGTCAGTGAAAAACAGATCTAAAAGGCTATTCCATGCTAATATCCATGACCAGGTTTCAGGGGGTTGAGTAGATTCAACCAGGAGGTTGGAATGAGATGGATCTTACAGAGCCCTTCCAATCCCAAAGAGTCCACGATTCCTACGATTCCTCTGGACCTGATCCTGTGCCATACTGAGCAATGTGGTCCAGAAAGCCCGTATCCTGTATTTCTTGTGGGAAAACGTCACTTTCTAAAAGTCATCACCTAATTAGCATCCTAAAAACTGAAATCCAGGATGAGCTGGCCATGGAAGCCAGACTCAACCCAACAGATGTGCCGGCAGAGCTGGATAAACCGGGAATGAGGAGCTTTACTGCACCTGTTCCATCGGGTACAGAACAGACCGGATTTTACTGCAGCATCAACTGAGGAATTTTTCACAGGCACCATAATCCACCAGAAAATCACCTTAAGCAGCATCTACTCCATGAAAGTACCCTTGAGAAATCTGTCCCTTCATCTGGGGTCTCATCCAACCCTACCCCAGCCAAAGCACCCGACTGTATGTTCCCTAAAACAGGGCAGCTGAAAAACGACGGACAAAGGAATTCCAGACCTGGGCTGAAGGAAGGCAGATGTCAACGAGCTGGTTGACAACAAAAACTCCTCAGAAATTATTTTAGCCCCTGCTCAGGTCTCCAAGCCAGAAATCTTGAAAGTGCTTTAGAAAACGGGGTCCATAAATCATTCCCTGTTTCCCAAGGTGATGGACAAACTTCCTTAATCACAGCAGATCAAATCCCCAGTTCCCCAGTTTTACACTGCCCCATTCAAACAGATAAAAGTTGTTCGTGTTGGATCAAGCCTGGAATTTGGTCCTCTTCATTTAACCTTGCAATGTACTCAGATTATGATTTTACTTTCCCCAACCACCTTTTTAAGAGCCGTTCTTCCCAAGCCAACTGAGCTCAATGGCAAACCCCTGGTTATTTGGAACAGATTCGGGATTTCCTCCATCCAGACCCATCTCAAAACCAGGATGTTCAACTAAAAAAGGGTAAATTTGAAATTTTGGGGTAGATTTTTTATATTTCCATTACAAGCTACTCATTTTTCATAACTCATTTTTAGCATTGCTAATGATAATAATAAAAAACCTCTTTCATTAAACACTGCTTGTTTCACCAACTGGAGATTTTGATAACTGGAAGATAAAGAGAACATAATGTTTAGGACTTGTTTTGCATTTCTCCACATCTGGCATAAATGAGTCAGTCACACAGAACAGAAGCTTGTTAAAAAACAGATGACGGGTGCAACAATTATTTCTGTGGGTTTTTATTTCTTTTAATAGAAAATTCTAATATAAAACAGCAAACGTTTTCAGTTTGCCTTGTTTACAAAAATATTATATATATTTTTTTTATATTTCTGACATAACTAAAATGCACTATTCAATAAAAATATTCTTCCATCAGCTAACTTCTCTTTTTAAAAAAATTAATAAAAAAGTTATATAAATAATGGTTGCACGCCCCCACCCCAAAACTGATCTGGCTGGATCAGTTTAGGAGAACCAACATTTTGACACTTTTGGGGGGACAGGGGGTGAAAGGGGGTCAGGAACCAGAGATCTCCCCTCCACCCATCCGTCCTTCTCCAGTTACATCTGAGCAAAATCCTGTTTCTCTGGGGATAAGAATAAGGGGGAAAGTTGCTTTGCACTTTTTTTTTTTTTTAATATATATATATATGAAATGACACCATGAAAAAGTTCAGGGATCCCAATCCACCGCTGAAGTAGTTTTACAAAGCCGAGCAATTTCACTGAATTGCACTGGAGATCCAATGGTGTGGTGGCAGAATCAGCCTCTCTGGAAAAATCCAGTTTAACCCAGCTGGGACAAAAACGTTTTACAGGACACTCCCCAGCGTTTTATACAGGAGTTCCCAGTCTCTTGTTTAGGCTTTTCCAGATTTGTGGATGGAGTAGCGCTCCTACTCCATGAGTTAATCAAACTCCAACACATCTCTCACCATCGGAAAACCCTGCCTAGCACTCCAAAGGGTTTCAAAATGGTTTTACATCTTCTCTCCCAGCTCCTACTTAAGCTCCACTGGATTTTTCCAAAAGGAGGCTTTTTCCCCCATTCCTTCTACAACAATAAGGCAAACATTGGAAAATGCTGGAACTAAAGACCCCCACCCGAAACACACCCACAACGTGATGCTGGGGGGAGAAGAAAAATAACCCACATTTGTTTTACCACCCTAGGTCAAAAGGCCAAGAAGACAAGTTCTCCTGATTTCAGAGTGTTAGTATATTTTATACACTGCCTATACATTTAACACATGTGCCTCGCTACTATTTAGTTATTTATAATTTTTTTTTTAACCACAGGAGAATAAACCTTGCTATTTACAATATATAACAGGCAAGTACTATATCCACATGAACATAAATACAATTTGTGGTGGTTTTTTTTTTTGTTATTCATTTTTTTGTCTTTTTTTTTTCTTTTTTTGTCTTTCTTTTTTTTTTTTTAAATACTTGCAGAAAGCATCCAGGCTTCAGTGCGTGAGTTATAATACACAGAAGAGCTCTTTCACTCAGTAGTTCATTCACTCTTTGCTGCTTTCTTCTAGACAAGCTTGGACAATCTGCCTTATTTCCCACCCATCTCTCTCTCTCCTGCACTGCCGAACACACCAAGCTTCCCTATCCCATCCCATCCCTTCCCAATCCCGGCATTTTCTCGGCCAGGATATCCGTGCCAACACTCCCCTCTCTTCTGCTTCCAGGGACTCATTCTCCTCTCACACCAGTGCAATGTGGAGTTACTCCAGCGAGGTCAACGGAGACAGAGACACCAGTGAAAAGGAGGAAAATGAGGCCCACGGTTTAAATATAACAATAATAATAATTAATTATTAATAATAATAATAATGCACATAAATTGTGGCCCATTCTTTAATTAAGAGCAGATTAAAAAAAAAAAAGAAAAAAGAATGGAGCCAAAAATAGTAATTCAGACCCCAAAATTCCTGTTTTGAGCAGGTTTGGAGCTGGCTTTACTTTGGAGGGGAAGAGCTATTCTAGAACACACAGAAATGTAACAGTGAGTTTGCACATATGTGTGAGAGAGAGAGACAGAGAAAGAGAATTTAACATAATACCACATTGAAACCATAAGAAGGTCCTTCTGAAGGGCTTTACAATAAATAAATGTTCAATATTTATATATATATTTATATATTTATGTGTCAGGGTGTGTATATATATCCATATATACACACTGAATAATAGGTTTCTAGGCAATTTATTTTTAAACCATTAGATAAACTGCTCAGGGGTGAATTTCCCAAAAGCTGCGAGACCTTCCTGGTGCTTTGCTGGGGTGGAAGGTGGGAATTCCACACGTGGATTTCACCTTCACTCCACCAGCATTATCCCAGCCTCCAGAATTGTACAGCAAATAAGGAAATACCAAAAAAGAGACATTTTGCTTCAATTTGCAGAACCATGGTGCTATTAAACACTAACATCCTGTCCCTCCTCATGCCCCCTCCTCAAGATTTGATGCCAACGAGCAGGGCTGGACTGCAGGTATTGGTTATCAAGAAAACCCCAAACCTATCTTTTCTTTTCCCAGTAGACGCATAGGAACAGCTTAAATATTAGTGGCCACAATTTGGGAGGGAAAAAAAATTAAAAATTAAATAAAAATAAGGGAAAGGAGATTTTTCAAAATAACGGTCTGTCTTGGGAAATCGCTCTCATTTTGTTTTACTGATTTTTGCAAATGCTTGAGAATCTACTCTCCTGAACACCAGATCAACGGCTTATAGAAACTTGGTGGAAGTTGCTACCAATGGACAATCAAAAATTGCTACCAAAAATCAAATAAATCACCCTCTGCTCCCCATTTTTTCCTTAGAAAGCTTCATTCAGGCATTCTCTGGCTGCCTCCAATCCACTTTTATATGAAGAATGTTGGCACGCCAAGTCCTAAATCTCCTCTTCTAAGCAAAAAAGAAATGCTGGAGGTTGTCATGTATTTCACAGCGTTGGAGTGATCAACCCCTGCAGTCAAATTTCTGGCTTTTTCAGGTTGTCTCTGTGTCGATTGGTTATTCCAAATCCATGCATTTGGTAGGATTTAGCAGGTGTGTTTTTAAAATACAGTCCTCGATCTAGTGGTTAAAAAAAAAAAAAAGAAAAAAGAAAAAATTCATCTTAAGGTCATAGGGTTTACATACAGCTTGTGTCATGTACCACTGCCATGGTTTAGAGTAAATGGAATGATGACCTAGGAAAGAAAAGTCAACTCCTCCAGAGGTCTGATCCAGGCCAAAAACGGCTGCTCCACAACGCAAGACAGCCCCGGTTTCCAAGATGCGCTCGGATTCCTCTCGTCCTGCTCAAGAGAAACACGTCCAAATTCAGCTGGCATAAGACTCAACAAGTTCCAGTTGGGATTTCTGAAGCAGTTACCACAGGTTGACCTCCATCAGCAAGAGGCGGGAAGAGGAGAGCAAAATAAATCATGCGTGAAGTGAAAATGAAACAAAAGTATCTAGTGGTTTAAAAAAAAAAAACAATATTAAATTTAAGACAGCGATAGTGCTAAAGAACCCGCACTTGAGCGAATTGTTTCCAATAAAGAACGTGGGATTGGACTGAAGGGACAGGCACGTCTGGTGTTCTGCTGACTTCCCAACCTCTTTCTTGGATCTATTTCTGTCTGTTTCTTTCTGCTGGGTGGACCCAACGTTGTTGAGCTGTAGGTGACAATGCACGTGGATACGGAGCTGTCATTAAAGAGCTGATGCTCCCAGTGGGTCTCTTTGTCAGAGCCTGGTGTGCTCCATGTGCAGAAATCCCACTGGAAGAACCCATCATTCCCTACAAATCCCTCCAGTTTTAGGAGAAATAAACGCCGGCTTCCTGCATCACCACACTCAAAGCGGAAAGATCTTTTCTATCTGCTCAGCTCTCTAAGCAGTTGGGTGATCTCCAGGAATAAAGACGTACAGGATATTTATGCCAAAGGGAATATCTTAGCCCAGGGGTTCATGGAGGATGGCTGAAACAATGTTCCAAGGATAAATGATCCGTCAAACTGTGTAGATGGTGAAGGTCAACTGGTGTCTAACCCCAGTGTGACAGGCACTTATTTCCACATGGTTGGACCTCGTGAAAATTCAGTCTACAGGAAAAACAAAACAAAAACAAAACAAAACAAAAAAAACCCCAAAAACCAAAAAACCCCAAAACAAAACAGCAACACAGCTGGGTCACCTGTACCCTACAAAGTGCTTATGTCTCAACATAGCTTCCAGATCCCAGAAGGTCAATCAAACCCTGTTTGTCTCCATAGGCAGTTCTCCAAGCTGGCCCATCCCCGGGGGTGGCCGTGCAGCAGAAGCCGCAGGTTGTGTCAGTCCTTGCAGGTGTAAACCTCCTCTCTCTGGGTGCACTGCTTGCACTCCACGTAGCAGCACCAACGCACCTGGCACTGGCACGGGCGCGTCACCACCCGGCTCTGCGTGTTGTGCCCCCGGCCACAGCAGATGCTGTCGCAGTTCTTGTCCTTGTAACACTTCCGTCCCGAGGTCCCAGGGGAATACCGACTCATCAGGCAGAAGCTGGGGGAGTCGTCAATGTAGACGAGATCTGTAGTCCTTGGGATTTGATCGCTGTGGCCAGGGATGGATTTTTTAGGGGGGGAAATGTCGCCTTCCCCCGTGGCCTCATTGGTGGTGCTGCCCACCTTGAGCGAGGTCTCGTACTTCTGCTTCAGCTGCTTCCCGATCTCGTGGAAGGGGGAGAGCTGCCTCCAGCACGTTCGGACGGTGCAGGATCCCGACACGCCGTGGCATTTGCAGGTGGTCTCCACGCCAGCTTTGATGACCTGCAGACACACACACGGCCCCAGAGAAAATCAGTCACGGCGGAAGAAATCAAAACACCAAGTAAAACACCAAATTTTCTAGAAGACACTTCAGGGACACTAAGCTGATGATAATACAAAAAAATGACTGTTGGAAGAAGACAGAAAACACATCCTACAGGAAATACTCGTTTCAAAAGGCTCTTAGTTCCCAGAGTATGACATTTGCCTGCAAAAACTTTGCTTAATTGGCTAATTAAAGATACTAAAAAGGTGCACAACGATTGTCCAGTGCTGCCATTCATCATTTTGACAGAGATCTGAAGCTGTGATACAACTAAGAGTTTAATACATATTTCAACACCTGCTTATGTCTGCCAATAATAATTAGATAAGATATAAAAGTGGAAGAAGTTAGTGGAAAGAGGAGGGGTGGCACATGCTCCAGAGAAGGAGTGTGGACAATAGGAACCTTCTCCATACCACAGAACACCAAAGCCAAGTACGAGCAGAAGTAATCATAGTTCAGCATCATCAACTGACCGATGCTAAACAAAGGATCCCATCCTTTTCAAATCAGCTGCAATGAAGAAGTTTCACAGCACAAAACCACATCCATCTCCTCAGAAATGGCATTGGAATGGTTCAAGTTCCCTTTCTCCAGAGAGAGATTTACACCTCGGATAACTCCACGGGCAACACAAGAGCAGAGATGTTATTTGGACAGCCACAGAAACTCTGTGTTTTGTCCACAGATTATAAACACAAATTTGTATTTCTAATTTTCCCACCCTGCCCCTTCCCCAAAATTAGTTTCTGTTGACTTTAAATGGGTAAGGTACAACCACCTCTTAAAACAGCAGGTGAGAACAGAGTTTGTTTTACAGAGCTGGGTCCTGACAAGGTACCAAAGTACTGTTGAAAGTGCCCTTCTTTCGGGCATCTACGGTACCTAAAAAAGAAGAAAACAACCTCCCCCCGTGCCCATGATGGCATCTGGCTACGCTGTGGCCTCCTGACAGCAGAGGACTGGCTGCAGTCCATTTCCTGACCATCCGGTTCTTAATTATTTGGCTGCACAAATCCTGCTGAGCCCCATGTGCAACCGTGCAATAGGTCATGGACTCGGAATTGGGGCCTGGCCCAATTGTGATATTCCAGAAACGTTTTTAGAAAGACAATATGCATAATGCAGCCTTCAGCAGAGCCTGTCCAATGGTCACACTTCATTCCTGTGACAGCCAAAGACCTCTGCAAGCGCAATCCAATAATACACAGTAGCATTCAAAGCGGTGACGGGTTACAGGGGGAGATGTGTTGCTGGTTATAGCGCTCAGCTGGGATGGCTTGGGTAAGGGCTGTCACGCTTTGAGTGCCAAAGTGTCTCGCCAAGTCCACAAGAAATCCCACAATGTCAGACAAGAGCGTGCAGAACGCATTTCAACACCAAAGGGGGGGGAAAAACCCCAACCCTCACCCGTGCCCTCCCTCGTGTAAAGTCCTGTTTCAGTGCTTGTCCAGAAGTGAGAGCTGAGTTGGTGTGAAACAAAGCTCCTCCACCTGATTTCACGCCCACACCATCAGCAAACTGGGCAGAAATTGCTGGGATACTTGGGAAAGGGCTGCACACTGCAGTCATTCATCACTTCAGGCTTTCCTCAACCTTTCCTCCTCCCCCAGCGCTTCTGCATCTGCTCCACCTGGAAAAGGAGACAACCCCCATTGTACAGGAGTTGGGAAAACAAGAAACCAACGGGAACTGGCTCAGCTTGTAGTCATGCTCCTGGACTTGGAGCTGATTGAACAAGACAGGGTCATGAAACTCAGGAAGGGAACCTGGAGTCGGGGCTGTTCTTGTCAGGAGCCACCTCTCTGAAGCTCTGTGGGAGTGCTGATGTTGCCGGAGCACTAGAGCCAAGGCATCCACGTGGGGCTGGTGGATACAGCCCAACACGTGTTGGAAAACCTGATCCTGATGGATTGGCAGCTGGCTGATGGCTGAAGACCTTCGGTCAGGTAGGTTTAGGCACTCGAATCACATCAGCCAGCCAGGGCTGACCTCACTGAGGCAAACACTTGATTTAAACACCTCCATTTGAGAAACACCTCAGAAGTCCCATCAGAGTCAGGGGAGCCAAAGCAGGAGAGGGTCCTGCAGTGAGGCAAACACCTGCTCCACTGAACACCTCTCCAGGCTGCCACTGACAGCTGAGCACATCTCTATCACCAACGGGAGCCTGGGGACCCAGCTCACACAGAGGCACCTCAGCTTGGGGATTCTGTGAACAGAACCCCACCCTCTGGGCCAAATTCAGGTGTCCAAGTATCTCCACCTAGCACCAAAAATTGAGGTGCTTTAAAACATTCTCCTCACACCAGCTGTCCTTCCAGCAGCATAAAGGTCTCTCAAGGGGTAGTAATAAGTACTAATAAATACTACTAATAAGTATATTTAGGTAGATTAATTCTGTTCTCCTCATCTGGGCTCAAATAAAGTTCCACATGAACCTTGGCCTGGATTTTCCTGACTCGCTTCTAGCTCCTTCTTAAGCAGTGGCTGGGACAGCTCTGGTGTCATGCACTGGTGGACCAAAGCATAAAAGGTTTCCATTGTCCCTATCCCCATGAATGCAGCAGTTCATGAAATCCAGAGTGTGGATTTTCATATGGCTGCCGTGCAAGTGCGGCGCATCCCAACCGCCCCGTAAACCTTCTCCTGGAAGGACCGGGAAGGGCTCAAGAATGTTACGAGACAGCAAGAGTGAAAATCCTAGAAAAATTCCTTGCCCAGGCAGCCTCCCCTGCTGCTGTCAGTCATGCTGCAGCTCCTCGAGGCGCTGTGTGATGGGGAACTGCTGCCTCCGGGCCCCAACCACCCACGAGCCAAAATGAATCTTGGCAAAGCCCTTCTGGTTCCTGTCCCGCTCCCCAGCTTCCACAACGACCTTTCCTCCTCTTGTTGCAAGCTCCTGTCAGAGACACTTAAATCCACCTCATTTCTTCAGGAAGCAGAGAAAGGCTGATCCAAGTCAGCAGGTTGCTTGGAGCAGCGTTGGAGAAAGCTTTGCTGGCTGGATCCTGGGACAAATGTCTGGATCATGCTTTCATGCTTTTCTGTCTTCCAGGATGGGAAAAAACAGTTTTTATTCCCAAAAAAACTCTTGGTTAGATGAGGAAGAATAAATTTTTACCATATAAAATCATATTTCAAGAGCTGTAGTAGTTTTTCAAGGCTCACCACAGTCCAGGGCCTGATTTACCTTCATCCTACACAGACCTGAACCTGTTCTGAACACACCACTGAATAATCACCAAGGATGTGGCCACCTGCACGTTTGTCACAGATGTGAAGCAGAATGGCTCAGCTTCCATCAGAGGCACAAAATATTTCATGCTCCCCACAGCCCCAACTCTACAGCTACCACACAGCAGCAGGGTTGTAGCAACTCAGGCTTAACAACAAGGAGCATCCTTTGAGGATGGTGTGCTGTAGAGAGCTCCTACCATGAAAACAAAGCCAAACAAAGACAAGTGGTGGATCAGGGATGGCATCACACATGGCAATTCCATCCTCCCACTCTCCTCTGAACAACCACCTGGTTTGGCAGCCTCAAACAGAACAGTTTGGGAAGAAAATAAGGATTTTTGAGCTATTTAGTTTGACTTAGGAACACAAATTCCCACCGACCTTGCTGTGAGAACACCCAGTACTGACAAACGCAGAATGAGGAAAACACAAAGCGAGCCACAACCATTTTTCCTGGGGTTTGCTGCTCAGAGGAAATCAGATAGCGCTGCTGGACTGCCTTCCCAACTGGCTTTACGAGGAGCCACGGGGAAAAGGGATCACAGCAGAGCATTGCTATGCAACATGTAATCCTTCCTCCCACAATGGTGCACTGCGAAGCTCAGACTAAGTGCCCCCGTCATGATCAGTCTCAGACATGCTGCAACACACAATTTCTCAGTGTTTTAGCTGAAACGCCGAGGACAGGATTCCCATTCATTCCCAGCTGGGTCACGGGGCTCTGGCAGTGGTTTTTTTCAGACAACTCTTGTCTGGGCAGCAGCAGTCCGGGGCGGACACCCAGCCGTGGGAATTCCTCGCTTATTGCTCCGCTGTCGTCATGGCTGGGCTGCGGCTCCAGGGCTTCAAACCATTCGCTATGGTTTGGGGGACAGGAGGCAGCAAACCCTCCTCGAAGGCAGCTCATACGGGGAAAAGCCTCGCCTGGCTTCGGAAAGGGCTTTGGGATGCTTCCCCACAAATCCAATCCCTTCCATCCCCCGCATACAGAGCCCTCTTCAATTTAAGTAGGCTTAGTCATTCTCTCAGCTCAAGTATTAATGTTTGTTTGGACAGCAGCCACGGTCCCCACACACAACCAGCGGACCAGACTTGTCCCCTCACACTGGCCAACGCCAATTGGCTGAATTAAAAAAAACTTTCACAGATTGTTAGAAGTTGTCCTTTCTTTTTTACTTCTACCTTGTTAAAAAGAAAACGTTTCCTTTCAGCCTGTTCTCAACCTGCTTTTTCAGAACAGCTTTTCCCCTCCTACCACCCTTCCCTTCTTTAAAAAATGGGAACGCTCATATTTTAGTGACATAGGTATTAAAATACAAACATTTAAGCATAGAACAACATAACCCTACTTAAAGTTGAGAACTTCAGAAGTATTTTCCCCATGCTCAGTATTCCTAGCATGCTTCCCATGCTAAAAAAGCTCCACATAAACAACCAACTGCAATCACTTATGGGACACAGCAAGCAATTTTTTTCCAGAGTATTGATTTCCAGGCCTAAGAAAGGCTTTGGCTGAGCCATTCTCAGCCTGGAAGGAGAAAATCCAGAGAGCACGCCTGGGCATTCCTACCTGTCATAACCTGCAGCAATTAATACCAGTGGTGGCCCTGAAAACTGATCTGTACATTAAGAGCTCTTCTCAGGTTGTTATTTGCTGGGTTTGATTTGTACCTTGCTAAACATGTGATGCCCCATTTCTCACTTCTCATTTCAAACACATCCCTAAAAAACTGCCAAAAACGATGTTTTATTTATTTATTCTGTTTTTTTTGGTTTTTGTTTTTGCATGCACCAAGTTGATTAAGCTCCAAAACAGCAATTATTGCACATCATGAGTGCGCAGCAAAACCTGGAGCTGGACTGGAACGGTGTTAACGAGCAGGAACTGTGTGAGACTGGATGGTCAGTGCTTGTAAACACTGCCTCTGCAACAGGAGAGTTGTGCCTCCCTCCGCCTGTGTGTGACCTTTAGTGAGTCACTTAATCTTTCTGGGTCTCAATTTCCCCCCTCTGCCCAACGGAGCTCCAGAAATGAAGAGGGTGGCATGCTCTGATAACGTGTTATGTGATAGCTCATGAAGTTCCTCAGACAGATGATAGCTGGGCAAACATCTCCCTGATATGGAGAGTCCATCTCCAGCCCTCCAGAGAGATCCCTGCCAGCACTGCCTGGGGGGAAAAGCCATTCCTCACATGGAATTCCAAAATAAGCAAGTCAACAGCAAGGCAAAGTCCAGGCACCTCCCACTATCCTCTCCAGAGCATCCCAGATGGTTTCAGGTGTAGCTGCCTCAGGATAGACTTGAAGCCTACAAGGGTGACAAGGACCTTGACAGGGGGTTGGGACAAGGCGACCTTTAAGGTCCCTTCCAACCCAAACCATTCCAGGATTCTGTGATCCTTCAGAAACACCTGCTCTGCACAGACCAAAACATCTTGTGCAAAAAACAATGAAGCCTCATGAAAGGAACCAGTTTCAAAGCAGAAAACTGCATAAAGAGAGGTCTTTTCTTGTTCTCCATTCCTGCCTCCCCATAATTTTGTACTAATCACCCTCGGCTCTCAAGACAACTGAGGTTACACACGGGCTTCAGGCAAAGGTTTGTGTCCCTCCTTCTGAAGGATGAGGAAAAAGGCAATGAGAACATGATAATTTCTTTTTCTAGGGTAACAGCAGCCCCTTTTAATTGTGCCCCTTGGATCTGTAAGACATGCTTGACCAGACATACCTCTGGAAGAGGTCAGCACTCCTGGGATTAAGAAACTTAGCAACGCTCCAGAGAGGGAGTTGGAAAGTCATGTTTAATGATACTTTGCTGAGAAACTGGGCAAATTTAATTAAAACATCACTTACTCAAGCCCAGTGGAACTAATTGAGTGCTCTAATATTCCACCTTTTCATTAATGGGTTACAAAAGAGGGCTGCACTTGTGTGTACAAGGGGGGAAAGGGGGGAGGATAGAGAGAGGATGAGAGCTTTAGCAAGGCTGCCTGGGCTTCATTTAATATAACTCAGAAACTTCATTGCTGGCAACGGAGCTTTAATACAGTTGACTTCACCCCCATCCCCTCCACACACACATCTCCCCCCAAAACACCCTCTCCCACCCAAGACCCCTCCGAAAGAATGGCTGAATGAGGGAGAGTCGATCTGGCAAAGGAAGGGAAATTGCTTTTTTAATAAGTGGTCTATTCAGAGCTCCTGCTTTTCAATAAAGAGAAGGCTGGAGAAGTCCTGGTCTAATTACCTCATCCTCACACTAGACAAGCTCGCCCTTTCATTAACCACTGAGGTCATATCATATAACTTGGTGAGCCACCACGGGCACAACATGTTCAGTGATTATTTCACTGGTGGCAGCAAAATTACAGGCAGCCCATCAAGGTTGTAAAAAGCAGAAGTAAAATCATAATTAAATGAGAACGTCTACCAAGAGACACTAAAACTAGGCGGGATAGGATCATGTCACCCTCGCAGAAATACAAGGATTGTTTGCTGGTGTGACACCATGGAGAAACTGCTGCGGTGACCAGGAGGGGAGAGGGTTGCTTGCCAAATTAGTCAGTCCAGCACTGGTCCTTTTTCTGCTGGGTCTCAAGGGATTATTTGTATGTTTTGCCATGGTTGGGAGTAATGAGATGGGAAAAATGACACGTAAAGGATCAGTGAGAGACCACCAAGCTTGTGCTGTATCTTTCGCAGAGACTCTTCCACTCCCTCAGCGAACACACACATCCACGCACTGCAAGAACCCCAGCTCCAAAATGTCACACATCGAGGCTGTCTGCACTCCTGTGCTGCCTCTGATCCACCCCAAATCAAATCCAGATGAGTTATTGTTCCAATAACCACACTAGGTTAGTCCAAAGCGGTTTCAGACTGCTGCAGTCACCGGGTGAGCAAACCCTACCCGATGGTTGCAAAGTCTTTAAGGCAGGAGTTGGGTGGTGAGCAGCTTCTTTGAAGACACAGAAATGTGCTGAGAATCATACTTAACTCACTACCTTTTTCTTCAAGGAAAATATCCTTAAACTCAGCTAGGAATGCTCTCAGCCTCCATCCTCTCACCCCTGAACTTGCAGTGGGAACAGGAGGAAGAACAGAGACCAAACCTGATATTAATCTACACTTGAGTGCAAGCAGTGCCAAAGACAATCCATCTTCCACATCAGGAGGGTCAAACCGGTTTCAGTACTCTGGAATCTGAAGCAAGCACTGCAAGTTTTGACTTTGTAGTCACAAAGCCAGCCTGGGTCCTCATCTCTTATCATCGTCTGAAGTGACACCGAATTGTGCCAGCGGTTTAGAGCCACATATCCCGACCACACAGATGTGTGTTCTGATCTTCAACCACCACTCTCCTGAAAGCTTTATTCTCAACATTCCCTCCTTCCCTGCTGGGCTCCACGGTGGTGCTGTCAGCCTGGTGGGCTGCGTGGCTTGGCTTTCAACCACGGCACAATGAATTATTCCAGCAGCACAAAGAGAGAAATCATTTCAACTGCTGCTGCAAACAGGCCAAGGAAAGCTGTCAGACAGCAATCCCAACTCGACAGACACATTGTGGGTCGACGAAAATAGGAACACTGGATCACTGACCTGCAGCAAAGGTCTGTGACTTGGATTGCCAGGAGGGCTCTCAGCGTCTGGACAACCGTCACAACTGTTACTCAGCTGTTTAGCTGCAGATACCACACCATGAAACCACTGCCAGAGCCCGCCTGTGCCAAGGGAAGCAGAGGCAGAGGATGCTGAAGAGTCCTGCATCTTCCCCTGGCAGCTAACTCGCAAGGATCAGGACACGGAAGGGAAGGTTCAACCCCTCCAGCTCATCCTTGGAGTTTGTTTAGCTCCAAGTCATGCAGTGTAGAGCACAGATGATAATTAAGGACACAAATCCCAAATCCAAGAGTGGCCTCAGCCACATGGATATCCTGACTGGAGCCCCTGGGACTGGGAACACTGGGGAGCTGCGCCAAACCCATCTGGGAGGTTTTTAGCCCTGCCACTGTTGGTGGATTTTCCTGGAGCTACAAGGACTTGCCAGTGGCAGCTGAAGTCACATCCTTGGAGGTTTTGATGGGGCTGTACTGTGTGACTCTGGAATGAGAGGAGAGACAGCACATCTACAGAAGCATCCAGGATGAAATCACAGCCTCCATGGGCTCCTTCTCCATTGCCAGTCCCACCTGCTACACACTCAACTCCAAAAGATGGGACAGAGCAACCAACACAAGGATTGAATCAAGTTCCATCACCTTGCAAAGCCCGTTTCACACGTCAAAAAGCTGCCACAGGAGTCCAGAGACACTGAGCTCTTTAATCCAGAGCAGGAAAGCTGTCAGCCAAAACCAGACACCAGCTAAATCCAGGATATTTCTAATCCTGATCTCAGTGCTGTCTAGGAGCATCTGGTACTGGGGAGAGGGGGAGACATTTTGCTGGCCAGCCCTGGCTGGTGGCATTCCCCGATGCCCCAATTCCGTCGCGAGGAATGACATTTTATACATAGACACAGCAACAACTGAGCTGGGGTGGCCATTCCTAGAATGCACAACTGGCTGGGCTGCATTTGCCTGGGAAACTGGAGACCCAGGTCCCCCATCCCAGCCCCAAGCCTGCATCCAATCACACAGACAATAACAAGGCTCGAGGGCTATTTCTGGCCTTGCAGTATGTCCCCCTTGGAGGTTGGTGCAATGAAACACTGATCCTGAGCACCTGTGCTGGCCAATCTGAGGGATTTTCGTGTTGGAGCGACTCCAGGCTAGGTACAGCCAAGTGTATCATGGGAGAAGATGGAAAGCCCCTTCCTCTTCCCCCTTGCTGGGATGACCCAGCACTTGCAGACACCTTGTCTTTTACATCTGTCACAGAAAATGCTGAGCTGGAAGGGACCCACGGGGAGCATCCAGTCCAAATCCTGGCCCTGCACGGGACAAACACAAAAAACCCCACCACGTGCCCCAGAGCATTCTCCAAATGCTTCCTGAACTCTGGCAACCCTGCAGGGAAGCCCCTAGGCAGCCTCACAGGTGTGAAGAGCAGGAAGAGAGGATAAAGATGGGAGAAGGAAAAAGGGACTCTACAGCCAGGCACCATCTTCTGCCCTAGGTGACACAGAAGGTTTCTGCCAGAAGACAAAGCTGAAGGGACTTTTAGGTCTGAGGTCAGCCAGAAATTAATCTCTCCACCCTGGTTCCCTGCCAGCTGTTTCTCCAGCCAGTTTTAAAGAAACTTGGCCAGGGAGATGCTACACTGTCCATGCTCTACTGAACTGCTGCAAGAGAGGCGTCCCTCAAGGCAGCGTAAAACCCTTCCTCTGTGTCCTACCCCATGTGAGTCTGAGGAACCTGTCTTTCCAACCCGTTGTGATGTGAAACCCTCTCCTCCCTGTGGGAAACCAGCAACCTTTGTCTCCACCTCCTATTTCCTATGGCCAGTCCCATTTCTTTCCCTCTGCTCTCTCTCCAATGGTTTTGCACAGTGAAAACCAGGGCACAATCCCACAACTCAGACTCTTCCCCTCCAGAAGGAGCATCACTCCATTCATTTCACATCCAACAAGTCCTTCTCCCCACCCCAAACCAGAGTTATTACCCCCAAAACCCCACAGCGGCGTGAGCCCCCCCACCCCGCGGCGCCTTCAACGCACCTTCATGCCCACCAGGTTGTTGTGGAAGTCCACCCTGGCTCGCAGGTCCTTGTTGGGCTTCCTCCCCAGGAACTCCTTGACGAACTTGTTGCTGTACTTGAGGTTGTCCCCACAGCCTCCCCACTGCCAGGCCTCCCTGTTCTCCAGGTCGGGGGCCTCGTCGCAGGTGCAGCGCTCCATGCGCCCCGCGCTGCACGCCTTGGCCATGGCGTGGGTCAGCCCCGCCGAGGAGATGGCGTACAGGAAGGCTGTCTCCTTAAAACCTGCAGGGACAGAGGGAGAGGCTCTAGTTGCAGCTTGAAGGAAGGAAAAAACCCAGGAAAGGAAGGCAGAACCAATCGTGAGAAGTGCATGAGTTGTGTGACAGAGCAGTAGAGTGATAAGGTTGGAAGGGACCACAGTGGAGCATCTGGTGCCACCTCCCTGCTCCAGCAGGGCCATCCCAGAGCATAGGGCTCAGGATTATATCCAGGCTGCTCTGGAATATCCCCATGTCGCCCTGAAAGTTAAACCTTCTGATAATGTTTTCATAGTTTTACTTGCTTTCCCATGAAAGTCCTATAAACATAAGTTGTTTATCACATTCCTCCTAAGAAATGTCTTTTGATGGACATTTCTCATGACCAGTCTGCTTGGGAAGATGGTAACTTAATTATCCAATCCCTGGTCATTGTTGAGAATCTATAAACACTGGAGTCAGAGAATAAAGGCAGGTTTCGTGTTCTGACACTGAGAGTGTTTGTGTGAATCATTTAGCGACATCCCCACTGAGAGAGACTCCACACCAGTGCTCAGTCACTGCCCAGGAAATAAATTCTTCCTCAAGTTCAAGTAGAATTTCCTGGGCATCAGCTCCTGCCTGTTCCTCCTTGGCATCACTGGGAAAAGCCTGGTCCTGACACCCTGAAAGCATGGCAAGCTCTCCTTGCATCACTGATGGTGAAGAGGGCACAGGGGAGGGCAAGGACTGCTGGACAGAGGTGGCACAAGCTGGGATTCAGGAATGCAAATGGAATCTGGCCGGCTCGGTGGCTGTCACTGTGTCACTCACAGTCTCCACCTGAAAATGGAAAGAGTTGAGCAAAAATTGCCCCTGGATCCCTGGATGTGTCCAAGGCCAGGCTGGACACGGCTGGTCTAATGGAAGGTGTCCCTGGAGTGGAACTGGATGAGCTTTAAGGTCCCCTCAAAGCCTTTGCTGGACTCCATGAAGAGTTGGACAGGACACGGAGGCACAAGTGCTGCTGCCAAGGGGACACCAAACAGCAGGAACCCAGCACAGACTTCCAGTCCTCCTCATTCTTGCCTCTTTTCCCAAATCAAATCACTGGGTCCTACTCCAGACCAGCAGAATTGCTGACAGAAGACACCTGAGGGCTGGGAAGCAGGAGATGTGTCACCCAGTGCAGTGGGTGAGAAAAAAACCCCAGTTTACACCTCAAACTTTCCATGCACAGCCTTTCTTTACACCTCCACACTCACCTGCGGGGATGCACTAGCATCCACTCCCCCGACAGGTAAACGACACCCAGAGGGACCCAGGGTTTCAATCCAAGTTACAGAAGCCAGAAATAAAAAGCAAACATGGCAGTATTTATAGCCGCCCATTCTCCAGCTATGGAAGCCATAAACGACTGCATATTTGAGATGCAATTCCAGAACAGCTTTGGATGGGGCTCAAGAAATCCCCCACTCAAAAATAACACAAGTGGATGGTGACAGTAGTGGATATATCTGTGAGCTGGTGTGTCAACCAAGGACATGCAGAGACACTGCCAGGTCATTTTTGGAACTGTTCCTTGGGAGGTTCATGACAGTCCAAGCAAACTCATGTGGCCATTCCCAGAGTCTGCCTTCCCAAAACACTCCCAGGAGCAGGAAGACTGATGAAAATCCAGCCCAGGAGACTGAGGTTTGGTCCTCTCAAGGGTTCTGAGGTTCTATTTCCTCCTGGACTGTGGTAGGAATTACCCAATCATTCTACTGCTCACCCGGAAAAGGAGAACAGGAACCTTTTCCCCACTAGAAACATTAAAATAAAAAAGGTTTAACTCTACACTCACTGAGGACACTGCAAAGAGTGGTGAGAGTTAAAATAATAAATTTTGTTTTCTCCCTGGAGTCAGACCATGTCCTCTGACAGCCCAGAAACACCTTCAGCATTACAAATACTTCATTGGAAGTGGTGAGAGAATTCTTAATTCACACAACAAAAACTCTTGGGTATCCCAATGACTCCTCTGGGTAGAAAATGCCTTCGAAGCATCTCTCATCCCTTGTAAACTATTTTCTCTAGGTTACATCCCAGGCCGGACTGCCCACATGCCTGTCAGAGGGATGCCACTACCAAAGACAGATGCTCCCAAGCCTCTGTGCTCCTGGATTGGAGAATTCTTGCCACAGCTACACAGAGTGAAGCGGCACCAGTGTCAAACTGAGACTCCTCAGCGGGATGGGGTGTGCAAACCCTGCCCTGGAGATCCAAGACTGCGCTCATGGCATGGTTTGGGTTGGAAGGGACCCTGAGATCCATCCAGTGCCTCCCCCTGCCATGGGCAGGGTCACCTTCCACTATCCCAGGTTGCGCCAAGCCCCATCCAAGCCGGCCTTGCACACTTAAGTCACAGCCATCAGCCTTAATTGATTCATTAGGCAGCCCAGATCTCCCCCCTGCTTGAAGCGCTCCCGATTTAAAGCGCTGAATTCGGAGCAGTTGTGGAATCCCAGCAGAAAGTCAGCCCCGTGCAACCACAACACATTCCAGACCTGACAGAAAGCCAGGAGGAACAGCTCATCTGCCAGGACCTCCCCTGCCATCAGCTTTGTCTCCACTCCTCCCCTTCTCCATCACTGAAAGCTTCCCAAATTCCCCGTGCCCATCAGCACAGGGATCATCTCACCCACAGGCAGCTCCCAACCAGCTCCATGTGACATTTGGCTCTGGCCAGATTTTAAAGCCATCTCCACCACGCACTATTTGATTGCACTAAGATATTTTGTAACAAGATAATGAGCTTTAAATCAATGCAGGCATTCTAAGCCCCAGTGCATTGACAGTCTGCCGGCCCTGGCTATCCAGTTTCAGCCATTTCCAAAATTGTGCCCGAGTATCCAAAGAGGATAACGAGTCCCTTAAACAATCCCCTGTTATTTTAAGAAACGGGGCTGCATCAGCCCAAGTTGCAAACCAGCAGCCAGGGCTGGTCTGGTGACCAAAATGTGAATGCAGAGGGAGAAATTTTTAAGTGAAAAAAGGTTTTTTTCCCCCCTTTTTCCTTTCTCCCTGCAAAGCCCTGAAGGAGAGGAAACAAGGCCTCAGAGATCACTTTGGAAAGCTGTCTCCTGGTGGGTGATACACGTGAGCCTGTGCCCTGGGGTATCCCCTGCTGCAGTGCTGAGCCAGGAACCAGCAGCTCCTGGAGAGGAGGAGGAGGAAGATTTACAGGGCACTGTGTTACTTCTCGGGAACACCACCTGAAGGATTTACAGCAGCGGGGCAGGGCAGAGATGCTGCAGGGATATAAAGCACGGCAGAATGAGACAGCAGCAGAGCCCTGCGGCCCTCAGAGCTCTCATTTATTACCCAGGTCCATGACAAGGGCTGGGACGAGGGGGTCTCCGTGGGGTTTTAACTGCTGGAGGATCTGCAGTGCCCCTCGTTCGGGGCTGCCCAGGGGACAGGCACGTCTGAAGGAACGAGCTGTGGCCTCCAGGTGTCAGCATGAGAAAGTGCTTGGCTTCCCCAAGGCACCACTAATCCAGGGACTCCTCTGGCATGCGGGGATATTTTTAAATGTCTTGCAGCTCTGGCCGGACCTCTTGGGTTTCATAAGGACTTTCCTTGTTTCCACCAGTCAGTGACAGTGCATTAGTTAAGCCCTGGTGCTTCTGAATTACTCCTCCTCACTAATTAGCCCTGCAAACCTCTGCTCTTATCTGTAAAGACTTCACACCCCAGCTTTTCCAGGTCCAGGCCCTGAGTGTGGGACCTTCTGGAAGTCACTAAAGCCCTGGAGACCCGCGCATGCTGTCTGTAAAATGGTGCTGCAGCCTGGAAATAAGAACTGGATTTTACTGGGAGGGTGGGCGAAACTGGACTACATGCGGTAATAACAAAGAAAAGAAATAAAAATATCACCTTCTCCTCCAATATTCCTGGCCATCTCCACCTGGGCTGATGGGAAGATGTCTGGGATTTACCCAGTGCTCACATCCATGGCAGTAACAGGACACAGCCATTTGCAGGTTTTACCCTCTACCGTGACAGGGTTCCCCTTGCCCTCTCTAACAGGACAGCACACAACAGCCTGGTTCACCTTATTTCCTTAAAAAAGGCATTTTCTTAACTTCTTTCCTGACACGCTGGCATAATAAATAGGAAAAATAAACAGGAGAAATAAATAGGAAACAAATAAACAAAATAATAAAGAGAGGACAGCTTTGAGAGCTTCCCAGCCCCATCCTCCAGCAGCAGAATTTCCAGCAGAAATGGGGAGAAAATGTAGCTCCTGGCTGCAGAGACCTGCACAAACACCTCCAGGCTCCAAGGAGAGCAGCCAGCAGTGGGAAGCAGGCAGGGCAAGACCATAAATTACCCCCATCAGGACATTCTTTGCCTGCTGTGCACTTCCAGGGATGAGCTCCAGCCTTCCAACAGAGCCCTTTGTGGCCCTGGCAGGAAGCACCCCCAGCACAGGATGGCTCGGACTGCCCATCAGTGAAGGAATCCAGAGATGGAGAGACATTTCTCTGTTCTATTCTCCAAAAAAGTATCAATCCTATCTGCTATTGACAGAAAAGCTTCCAAATATCCCTGGGTAAACCAGGATTTATAAAAGAATTAAGTAGAAAGTAGTAAAATGTTTAGTATGCAAGTGAGGTGAAAAATATAGATTTTAGAGGGGTTTAATACATGGAGTAAAGATGGAAGAAAAATGGTGTGGATTTTAGCTCTTCTTCCTTCTTCTCCATGATTCTGCAGTTTTTGAGAGCACAAAGAATGATTGGTTTAGAGTTAGTCGCAGTTTTAATTGCATAAGTAGATATAGAAAACTTACTTGTTAAAATATAAAAACACTACACCTGTCTGTAGTTAATAGGGTAAAAATAGAAATAAAGGTGAAGCAGCTGCGTGGTTTGGGGCCATTTTTTACCATCAGAGCAAAATGAGCCAGGCTGTGGTGAATTGAGCTTGTGCAGAAAGTCAGGAGAGACCTGCCAAGTTTTGTAATGACCTTTTAATAAACACGAGAAACAAGATTCTAACAAGCTCAGGAGTTTTCTTCAAACCCAGAGAACTGAGATAAGCGGGACTCCCCACGAGGGAGGATCCCAAAAGAGCTCAGCCCAAAGGGGACTGAGAAATCCACGAGGAAAGAAAAATACAAAGGAAGGAGGAGAGGAAGAAGAAAAAGAATAAGAGAAGTTACAATGGGGGCAGGAGACGGGCACAGAGCCCCCCCAGACTCACCTCTCTTGAGGAGGCTGGCGCGGTAGCGGCCCTCGAGGGTGCAGTTCCAGCGCTCGAAGCGGAACTGGTACTGGCACTCCAGGGCGCTCATGCTGATGGCCTCCATCAGCGTCTCGGCCACGCCGGGGTCGCGCCGGCACATCCGGCGCTGCTTCTTCTCCAGCTTCAGGCGGTCACACACCTTGTAGTGGGCCTTGACAGCCGCCTCCTCCATTTCCGAGGTCAGAGGGAGGATGGTCAGGGGTTCGTTCCCCGTCAGCCTGCCGAGAAACAGAGGGGCACCACGGTGAGGGCAGGGAAACCAAAAATTACGGGATGAGATTCTCCCCCCGTGAGGGTGGCGAGACCCTGGCACAGGTTATGTAGAGAGGCCTGAGGTTGCAGCATCCCTGGAAGTGTCCAAGGCCAGGCTGGAGCTGAGCAAACTGATCTAGTGAGTGGCATCAGGGCAGGGACTTGGATCTAGATGGTCTTTAAGGTCCTTCCAACCCAGCCCATGGGATTGATTTGGGTTCCTGTGGTAGGAATGGGATCAGTGGTGGGATTGGGATCTCCTGGCTGAGCATCCCTGTGGACCTGATTTTACAGTGAGGCTCCTCACAGTCTGTGTGTAAGGTGGCAGCAGGAGAAAGGTAAGAGGAAATATTTGGATTTATGCTCCCTACCAGCTCTCACAGAGCTTGTTTGGACATAAACTCTTGGCCACCTCCACCACAGGACTGCGTTCAAAACTGAAAGTGGAAAGAAATCATTTCAGGTGCCCCACTGCATGAGCTTGGGGAACTGGCAAAAATACATGAGCACCACCGTCACTGTCCTGGGCATAAACAAAAAAATCCTTTTAGCACATCAAGCAGAGCCAGAACCCAGCTTGGGAAGGGACAGAGGATGATTTGTCCCATCAAAGCCCAAGAGACACCCTGAGAAAGCACAGAAAGCCACCCTGCCCTCAGCAGAAGAGATCCTGACATAAAACCCAGCGAGCCACAGCCCGAGGTTGGAGAGCAGGATACACTTTCCAGGAGATGTTGCCAAAAGCTTTTACAAGACAGAACAAGCCCAAAACCTTAAAAAAAAAAAAAACAACCCAAAGAAAACTGTCCCTTTGCCGTGTCCCCTCCCTCCTCTGCCTTCTCCAGCACAAGGTCCTTGGCTCTACAGTGGGCAACAAAAGATGCCAGCGGACTGTTCCCGGTGTCAAGTGACGAGCTGCTGGAAAAGGACCAGGCTGGCATCGGCCCCAGGGAGCAGAGAGGCTGCAGGAACATCTGCTGGGCTCAGGAGAGCTTTGTTGGCCAGGCTGCTGTACCCCTCTCTCCTGGCTCTGCCCTGTTCCGGCCAGGTGCCAGTCCACACAGTCAATGGGAATCACTATCCGGGCTCGCAGAGGACCTGGAGACGCGTTCCCTGGCCAAAAAGGAAGAATGGCTGAAATCCAGAACTGGAAAGATGCTGGAATGTGGCAGTCCTGCGCTGGGGAGCACAGGGGTGGGCTGGGGGCTCGGACATCTCCAGCACTGCAGGAGCACTGGGAAAAGCAGGGTGATGGGAATGGGAGGGGAGCACTCCCTCACCCACTTTGCTGAGATCCTGGAAATCCTCTAAAGCTCCCACTGCAGGAGCAGTGATTCACTGCTTTAAATGAGTATTTTTCTCTAATCAGTGGGATGCATCCTGCCAGCAGCACAGTTCGTGAGGGCAGGCACTCGGGATGCTTTAACTCCCAAACCTTGGGGCACAACGGGCATAAAATCCTGACCTGAGTTCCAGCCAGGGACATCCAGTACAGATCCAGTCATCACCAAGGCATTGATGAGGTGATTTAATATCAGATATCTCAGGGAGGGAGCAAAAATGGCTGAGGCGGGATTTTTAGAACAAAGATGGGCAGGAAAATGTTCTCCTTTGGTTACATTCAAAGGTATTGATATCTTCAGAAAAACCCTGCAGTGATAAAAGCACAGAGCGATTTGTGGGAAACATGGGAAAAATATCTTCCCTCAACTTTTTCTCCTGGCAAAATAATAAAAAAATCCTGGCAAAATAATAAAAAAATCTGGAAGGCCAAACAGCAAGGCCCATTTGATGCATTTCTGCTCTGTGTCAGCTGCTCCCCACGGAGAGGGAACCTCAGCCAGCCCTGGTGCCTCGTCAGACAAAGCTCCCAGGATGCTCATTCCTGGGAGAGGTGCCTCAGTCTGAGCTTCACTGGTTCAAAGATCTGTAACAAAATCTCCAGGACGTTCATTCCTGGCTTCCATGGTACCCTGGAGATTCATTCCTGCAAACTTTCATCTTCGGCACAAGAGACCCTCAGCTGGCAAGGGAGAGGGAGGGAGGCATGGAAGCATTTCCTAAGCTCCCTCTCCCCATTTTTAATTTCCAGCTGAGCAGGGATTGTTCCCCTAAATGGTCTGGGAAAAAACTCCAAGGACCCTGTAGCAGATGGCTCTTGGAGTGAGGAGGGATACGGGAATAGATCCTACAGCCAAGATTTCTGCAGAGCAATTGGTGATTTTCACCCTCTTCCCACCTGTCCCCCTCAGGTGCTTGGCTTTGGGGTACTTCAAATTACAGTTCCCCACAGATCAGCCTTCCAAAACTTGCTGATATCAATCGTGTGTGTCTCCAACAAAAGCCACCTAAACACACACAAAATAAAGATCCGGTGGGTGGTAGGAAATAGGATTCACGGTGCTTCACCGTGCCACAACTCTTCCACAGCTGCTGGACGAACAACCCACATTACACCGCGACAGATCTGCCCATCGCTGCCTACATTATCGCTCAGAAGCATCCCTGGAACAAGATAAGGAGTGAATTGAGGGGGAAAAGGGGTTTTCCCTCACCAGCAGGCAGAAACTCTGCCAGGTGAAGAGCAGAGGAGCACACACACACACGGACCCACGCGCACGTTTTCCCTGGCGGGGCCCTCAGCTCCGCACATTCCGGAGGCCCTGGGAACAGGGGTGAGGTGGCACTTTCCAGAGCGTGGCATCAATAACAAAGCGCAGGCAGAGCCAGGGAGAGCTGCCCCACCTGACACGCTGCTGCATGGAACCTTTCTAATCCCATAAAGCCCTTTTATGCAACCTCAGCTGAGAGAGGTCCTGTAAGGCAACGGTGTCAGTCGGACGCTTTCTCAGCTCCTCACAAAGGCCAAGCTGTTCTTTCCAAGGAAATGTTTCAGGGGTGTGTATTTGTGTGTGTTTTTTTTTGTTTTTTACACACCCAAGCCACGACTGTTACGATTAAACTGCCAGCCAGAACCCTGTGATTGTGTTATTTCGCTCCAAGAAGGGGCTGAGTGGGAGATGCAGTGGACACATCTAAGGGGAAGAAGGTTGAAACTGGATGATCTTTAAGGTTCCTTCCAACCCAAAGTATTTTAAGCTAGATTCCAAGATTCCAAAGGACTGTGTGTGTGCGTCCACCAGGAAGCTGGGGAGAGAGCAAACAGCTCAACGCACACAACCCGGGACGCTTTACCTCTCTGCAAGTTAACTCCGGCCTCTCTGAGAGCAGCATCAACCTCCAGAGTCAAGAGACTGTTTATAGAATTCAGGATTTTGAATTTCTGCTCTAGAATTCTGCACTTCGATGAACCTCATGGGTCCCTTCCAACTCAGGATATTCTGTGGTTTTTTTGACCTAATCTTGCCCAATTTCTGCTCCCAATGCAACGTCCAAACCTCAGGAAGGACCTGGCTGCCCTGTGCTACACCCACCACGCTGAGAGGAACCTTTGCAGCATCATTTGTGCTATTCCCCTTCCAGTTCCACCAGTTTGCTTCCAGAGCCAGCAAAACCAGGTGGTTTATCATTAACTGATGTAAAAAGCAAGACCCATCTGGTTTGCACACACACTCTGTTGGTGTCACTCGGCTTCCTTGGTTGTGAACTTCATCTCAAACATTGCTAATTGCAGGGTTTTTTTGTGGTTTTTTTTCTTCCTGGAGTTCAATCACCCAAGGATTTGGGAGAGATTCCAAGCAGAGCCCCTGCCACTACACAGGCCAAGTTTTATCTGTGACATCATGGAATTATTGCCCTTCCAAGAGGCAATTCAAGACAGATCCTGCTTCCCACTCATCTCAGGGGTCAAGAGCTTTTATGGCCTCATCAGCTCACACTTCCATCAGTGCTCCTGGATTTTCCCTTGGTTAAGTGGGGACTTTCCTGATGAGGATTTGAGCAGGATGAGGCAGATTTAAGGCATCTACACTGTGAGTGCACCCTCATTTTTGAGGTGCCCCAGTGTTTCCTTTGCAAGTGTCACTGGAGATGGGATCCAAGGTAAGCTGTTTCCTCTGCTATTCCCATCTGGAATTACTGCTGAAATCTGCATTCCTATCCCACTTCCTCCTCTGTTAAGAAATTTCTCTTTGGTCCATCCCTGCGATGACTGAATTAATTCTGGTTCTGCTTTCCACACTATTTTTTTCCTGTGGAATTGCCACACTTTCAGCCCTTTTTCTTCTTTTTCCACCATTTTCCTTTTAATAACTAAAGAAGCTTCTGGAAAATTGACAAATTGACCTCAAATCTTCCTAATCACCTAAATTAATGATTGCACAGCTCAAGGAGTCTGAGTAATTCTGGACACCAGGCCTATATTATTCTGGTTTGCACCCAATAACCTCCAGTTGCTCTCTCTCTCCCCTATAATCACATTCCCACACCATCAATCTTTCCTAAATTGAAAATCTTTCCTCCTCCCACGAAGGCTATTGAATATTTGAAGTACAAAAACCCAAAAGTCTGAGAAAAAAAATCTGAATTTCAGGCTGCCTGATGAAGATTTGATATTTGGAAGAAGAGCTGGACTGAAGGCTCAAATGCCTCATTCTGCACTGTCTTGTTTGGGTTTTTAAATGTTTACAGCTTTAAATGCCCACATGAAACCTAAAGTCTAAAATACCCCAGATCTCCTTAGATTGCATAAAAATAAGGCTATGGATTCTCCAAACCTCAGGCTTCCACAGTGAAATCTCAGCAAATGTTCACAAAGATTGTTCTGTCAGAATTCTGCAGACTTCTTCTACCTCAACCCTTTCCTGGTGTAATTTCCCCAGTGATCTCCTCTGAGAGGATGCTGTGACATCATGAGGGTCAGGGAAGGTGACAGGAGGAAAACTGTTTATCCCAGCCTGAGGGAATCCAAACCACCCAGGGCTTTACAAGACAGAGATGAGCCCCGGCTAGAAATCAAACCCAGCTTTGCTAAAACTCATCTTTGCAAGTCCCACTGCTCCTCATGGCTGTGCTGGCTCTCTTTCCTCAGGACCATTCCCAACCAGCTTTGCCCTGGGCTCACCTCTCCTTGTCATTGTCCCTGAACAATGGTGGCTTGCTGTGGGAGACCATTGAACCAAGCAATTGGAAACTCCAGCAATTCCCATCACAATTAGGCCCCAATGGCTGTTTTGATCCTTATCTTCCTCTCAACAGCTCGGACAAAACTCGGCCAGAGCTTTCTTTAGGTGACAACCTCTCAAATGTCACTTCCTCCTTGTTCAGATCTTCTACACCAGTCACAGCCCCCAACACAGAGGCCACTGCCACCTTACCTGTTCCCAAAAACACAAAGTTGGGGTGACAGGGCCTTCCAACTGCACAGAATCCAGCTGGGAGGCAGCCAAACCCCACAGTCCTGCTCCAAAGGACAGTACGTGCTTGATAGGATTTTCTAGTGGAAGGTTCTGGGATTTTAGCATAGAGGGAAATCCTCGAGGTCTTTGGATCGGCTTCTGAGCAATGGGAAGGAGGAGAGAGGATAAAAGAGACAGCACAGGGGAACTTCCAGCAGGGGAACTGCCCAGCAGATCCCACTTACCAGGGAAGGAAGCACCAGTCTCCTTATGGAATCTGCTCAGACAGATTTCTGGGGTTCTTTTTTAGGAAAAAGAGGTGCAGATTCATGTGGGTTTCAGTCTTCTAAGCCTTTGTTCAACCATACTTTGATAGATTCATACAGTGGTTTCCTGAGCCTCCTCTGGGAGTCTTAGGATGGACATATGGACATGGAAGGATCCACAATCGTGGGTCTTATCCAGAGTTCTTCCAGCATCCAGCAAAAAGGGAAAACAACAGCTGCCTCTGGACAAAACGATCCAGTGGTGCAAACCTCCAGCTTCTCCCCTCCCAACACAGCTTCCCTGAACGCTTCCAGTACTCACAGCAACCACACTGATCCCAAAATTCATTCTGGATGTTACCACAGAGTTTCTCGTTTTAGCCGCAGGTGAAGCTCATGTGGAAGTTGGAAGATTTCCCCCGGGCTGCTGAAGACAGAGGAATTTCCCCAGGCCTGCACCGGGAACACTAGACTCCAACAACCATTGGGCTGTTAAATCGGTTCAGGAGGGATTTCCCTGGGAATGGGACAAGGCATGGATGGTTTTCTCCCAGATGCAGGATGGTTGCTGCACGAATAAATAAACTTCCATCCAATTTCCTGCCAAAACAGGCCCTCACCTTCCCCTGGACAAATTACCAAAGAGTTTGGCATGAAGTATATAAAGGAAAAAAATCTCTCAGTGGATGAGCAGGGAAGATGTGACTCAATTGAGCTGTGGAGGGCTGGAGATGTTCCCGTTCCTGCAGAGGACTTTATGGGATGGAGGTGCCATGAGGAACAGCTCTTTTGGCACCGTGGCCATCAGGAGCACCACAAGAAACTCCTCTGAGCTGCTGCAGCATTCCCCACTCCTGCAAAGCTGGAGACCTGCACCGGTTATGAATTACAACTCAGTGAAGGAAGGATTTCCCTTCTCCAGTGAGGGGAACAAACTCAGAGATCCCACAGCAGAGGAAAAAAGTCAATTTTGGGTCTTTGGTGGTGCACCTGAACCACAAGGCTGAAGGATTTCTCCTCTTTCCCCCCATCTCTCCTTACACCAAACCTTATTCAGGAAGTTCCCAGCCCATCAGAGCCAAAGACATTTTTATTTTAGGTAAACACCTCAGCCCCAAGACCTAATTCCCCTGGAACAACCCACTCTGTCCACAAACAAGCAGAAGCAGAGAAAGAGGGCGGGGAGGGAAAGGTTGTTTCCTCTCCCCTTCATCCTCTCAAGAATGAAACAACAATCAGGGAGATTTACAAAGGATTTTCAACCCAACGGTGCCAGTGGAATGCACGGGCCAGGCGGCAACAGGGGCTTTCACTCCCGATTTAAGAGGCATTAGCTCTGCCCCTGGAAGCCTGTGCCAGGAATTATCCCCCCACACTGTCCCCTCCTTGGCTGGACAGCTCCCGAACCCCCAGTCCAAACCCCTGCTCCTTGTCCAGCCAGTGCTTGTTTTTATTTAATTTGATTTTTAGCCTAACATCATTCCTGTTGGCCTGGAGCCTGCTCCAGTGTAGGCAACAAGGAGCTGGGAGTTTTGGTGCAGGAAAGGAGGAAAATGGGGAGCAGTGGGATGGAAGATGAAGAATTAACCCAGAGAAGAAAATAAAAGTGGTTTTTTTTTTTAAACCCATTAACTCCACACAGTCTAGAGGGGAGAAAAAAAAAAGAAATCAAGAAACCCAAAAAGAGAGAGATTTTCAAAATATTTGGGCTTTTGTCTGGAGCTTTTTGGGGGAGGGGGGAATAGTTTGTGGGTTTGGATTTTTTTTTTTGACACTACTGAATATCCTTTTATCCCAGCTCCATCCCTGACATAGGGTTAGAGAAATTCCTGCTCTCAGGCACAGAGTGAGAATGTTGAGGTGCCCTGTGCAGGGCCAGGAGTTGGACTCAATCCTTGCAGGTCCCTCCCAACTCAAGTTATTCCACGATTTTTAATCTAAAATTAGGCCTAAAAAGACACAGAAAACAAAGCACATTTCTAGACACCACTTACAAAAAATATGCATAATCATCCCTGCCTTGCTTTTCAGCAGTTTCTGGTGGGATTCAGCACCAGGAAAGGACCACAAATATCATAGATCACATGACA